GAACCTCCTATGGGGAATGTACATTTTCCCCTTCTTCTTTTAGTTGCTAACCCCGGATTTGCAGATGCTCCGCCGTACGATTCTTCCTCCGGGCATGGACGCAGCAGAACTTCCTGAGCCCCAAGCCCGACGACTGGCCGATACCCATGCCTGCGATCCAGTCGCAGATCCTCGCCGTCTTTCTCCCCGCCACGCTCTGCCTCTTGGTGCATATATTCGGCACGTTGCCGACTGCGGGGGAAGCGTCTCGAGGGTACTTGCACGGCGGCATGATCGTGGACTTTATCGGCCAGAAACCACCGACGACGAGGTTGACGCTACTAGGACTCGATCTCCTGATTCTTGTGCTGCAGTGCTTCATGCTCACTGTCCACGCCGAACGAGAGAAGATTCGAGCCATCATTAAGCCGAAACGGTCTCGGCTTGTCGCTGCTCTCGAGGAGGTTGCCGAAGATATTAACGAACTGTTACCGAGTCAGCATGACGATGTGTTTCGCGCCGGCGGCGGGGCGACACGTAGCTCGAGGCCGGCCCGGGAGGATAACGGAGATATCGAGATGCAGGCTTTGGGGAGGACAGACAGCCGAGGCTCGGTTGGGGATGACAACGATGATGATGATGATGATGATGATGAGCGTTCGGCGTTCTTGGGTGGTGCGTCGGCAACATCCTCGCCAAGGGCTTCTCTGCTGGATGTCATGAGTTCGGGAAACGGCATGCTGCGAGAATTTCATGTTCTACATACCATTCGAAGTGCGACGCCGGATTTCTGGGGTACTGTTGGTCACACGCTACAATCTGCAGGGTACCAATCGACTATGGCCAGGTTAAGGGCGAGTAGAAGCGGGACACGGTTAGGGGGGAATTGACAATGCTAGATTAGCATCGGGTTCACACGAGACACAAAGGCAAAGGGAGAAACAAAACAAAAAGACATTAAAACATCCAGAGGGTACCCTCCTTGATTGATATGGTATCTTATGCCACCTTGCGACCAATATTGCCAACTCCAGCGCCCTTGACTGACACGATAATATCCCCCGAGTCATCCTCATCCACATCCCGCAGACCCCAACTACTCGCACCAAATGCCTTCAAGTCCCGAGCCAGCCCGACGACCTCTTCAGTGCCTATCACATCCCTCCCTATCCTCAACCTTCCCATATCTTCTGATCCCATCGCCATCAACGTAAGGACGGTACCAGCCGACGTCCTGCTCACGCATCCGCCTTGCGCAATGTTCTCCAGCAGTTGGTACGCGCACTGTTTGCCGATATCCTCCGGCACGACGCCTCCCGTAGGGGGCGCCACCACATCAGCCGAGTAAATCACCCCGGCGGAGCTCGACTCGGCCACCAGACTGAGCCCAAACCCAATACCGGTCCTCGTCTTCGTCTTATCCGGGTTCGAGACGAGAGGCGCCTGGTCATACTGCGCCGCCACGTGAATGTCCGACGAGAGCGGGTTCAGCACCTCCCTCGCCGCGTAGATCATCCTGCCGTTGTTCGAGGCCGACACGCCGGTCGAGTAGGCCACGCCGCGTATCCTCTTTATCCGGCCCGGGTTCCGGTTGAGGTGCAGCGTCTTGGGGAGGCGCACCTGGCTGGCGAACCGGAGCTCGACGATGCCGCCGCCGCCGCGGCCGCCCTTGCCGGGGCAGGAGCGCTGCAGGAGGCGCAGCTCGATGCGGGCGGGCGGGATGCCGAAGAGGCCGAAGAGGGGGAGGACGGCGGTGCGGAAGGAGTCGACGGACATGTCGCCCTTTTGGGTGGCGGAGGTGATGACGCCCGGGCCGGAGAAGCGGACGTTCATGTGGGCTTTCGAGAAGGGGGCGAGGAGGCAGATGGGCATGAGGAAGTAGGTGACGCCCCGGGTGTTGTTGGCGGGGATGTTGTGCTCGATGACTTCGTCTTCGGAGGCGCCGAAGCCGGCGATGGTACCCGTGATGAGGCCCGGGTGGTAGGTTACGGTGGTACCGGTGTAGGAGATTTGCATGGTGCTGCCGTTGGTGACGGCTTCGAGGAGGCGGAGGAAGGAGATCTCATGGGGGGCGAGACCTGGGTTTGTTGGGGAGGAACTGCGGATTTTGGAGATGTGGACGGGTCGGCCGGTTAATGTGGCGAGGACGAGCCGCCATGTGAAGGACCGGTGGCCGGTAAAGCGTAAGGATTCCGGTGAAGACATGATGGTGAGCGGGCGCACGTCACCTAGGGGCTATGGCGTGTCGAATCTCCGGGGAAGAGATACGAGATGTGTTCCCGAACTTTTTTCTTACTTCACTTTTTTTCGGCTTTTTGCCAGAGAATATCAGCCAGTGTTCTAGATATGGTAAGCGGTGAGACTTTTCAGCGGGGATTATATTGATAAGATAAGAAGAGTGATGGATAAGAGATAAGAGCAAATCAAAGTCGCGTCTTGAAATCTTGTACCAAGATTCGTGACTTCGTAAGAAATCGTCAAGAACTTCAAGACACCCTCTACCCTCTTTCAAATCCGAGGCTCCATGTCTGACTTTTGTACACTACTATTTTAGCTGCCATGTCTCGACGCAGTCTTTTTCGCGACGTTCAATGTCGAAGCAACTTTATTTGCCAATCATGCATTTCAGCGGGACGAAAGCCACACCAACAACCATGGACAATCCGACACAACAGCTCCGAGGCCACGGCCACACAACGACTCAAGTCCAAAATCAAAACCCAGGGTCGACGCAGAGTCCAACCGCCTGTTTCCTCCTCTTCAAGACCCAAGCCGGACACTAGGATTTCACTACCGCTTGGGACAACAAGGGATACAGAGAATGGGGATGCGGCGAACGGTGACGCGTCCGCAGCGCTCCTCCGAGACCTGTTAAAGAAGAGCGACGATCACACCGTTAAATTCTTCGAGAAAAACGACAAGGGGCGCGTCACGCCGCTTCAAGGTGATAAAGACTTTTCCGAGTCTCTAAGCGGGTTTAAGGATTTTCGAAAGGACTTCAAACTCGACCTTGGAGGAGATATGAGAAGTCTTCTTGCCGAACTGAAACAAGACGGAACGCTCAATGCCATAGGGATCAACGATGTCGAATCCGTTGCCCAGGATATAGAAGCCAACTTGGGCAATCTCGAAGATGCGGAAGCGGTTGGAGAGAAACTCGATGCCTACATTAAGAAGCTGGAAGAACAGCTGGAGGCCCAAGGCGAAGTCATGGACGACTTGCAGGATTTGAATCTAGACGAGTTCGACCTCGATGAGGACGATCCCGAGATGTTTCTGCGGCAGCAATATCCCAAGACGAAGAAACAGCCACGGCCGATCCCCCAAATCCCGACCGACACATGGACCTACAACCAGCGAAGGCGAGTAAGCCGGCTCAACGCGATCCTCGAACGCGTCGACAAGGAACTCCGACGCCGCGAGGCGTTGATGGCAAAGACGGTGCAATCCGTCTGGAAGTCATACAACCTGTCCAGGCAAACGCTCGCCAAGGCATGGGGTCACGTCCCGCTTGACGTCTGGGACTTGCTTTGGAAAATCTTCTCGGCCGACGAGGCCATCAACCCGAACCGCTTTCCCTACCTGTCCCTTCTGGCAAGGGACATGAGCGAGGCCAAGATCGCCCTCAACCCGTCGCAGCAGCTCATCAGCATTGAGGCCATGTTCGTTGAGGGCTTCGAAGCCAAGGCCACCGAGAACTGGAAGCGATGCATGAGCACGCTGGGTGACAGCGGGTCTGATACCTTTCGCGAATACTGGGAGCTGGGCGTTCGCATGTTCTGCGAGGCCGGTGATCTGGTCCAAGCGGAACGAGCCGTCAACAAGCTCCTCGAACGCCACCTCGATCCGCGGATTCTCATGCCGTTTATCCGGAGCTGCGCCGCGCAACCGTCGGAGGAGATGCGTGAGAAGGCGTGGGATGCCTATCGACGGCTCCGGGGCATGCTCGGGGAGTCGATGGGGCTGGAAGACTACGACCAGGTCATATCGTTCTTCCTCGCCACGAACCAGACCGAACGCGCGCTCCATGCTTTCGTTGACATGATGACGGCTGGGACCATCGATCTCCATGGTCGTACTCACCTGCCGTCCAAGATTGGGAACAAATTCTTCTTCGGCAAATGGCTCAAGCGGCTCATTGGAGCGGGTGACTTCGACGGAGCGCATAGCGTGTTCGCGTTCATGCGGTCCAAGGGCATCGAGCCCGCCCCCATCCAGATCAACGGCCTCATCGCCGCCTGGCTCAGGAGCGGCGGCGCCGAAGACCTGAAAAAGGGGGAGCAAGTCGCCTGGGACATGATCAGTGCGCGGATCGAATTCGTCCGTGCGAGGGAACGGCTCGCCGGCCTGACGGGGCCGGTGCAACTGGTCGAGGTCAACACCAAGCAGGAAGTGGGCCCGGTGCCCAAGGCGACGCTCGAGACCTTCTGCCTCCTGGCCGAGAACTACCGCCTGCGCCGGCTGCCGAAGCGGATGGAGGAGCTCTGGGCGGCCTTCCGCGAGGCCAAGATCAGCCCGGACGCCTTCATGCTGAACCAGCTGATGGAGTCGCACTCGCAGTTCGGCAACATCCGCGAGGCGCGCGCGCTGTACCGGTCGCTCGTGCGCGAGGGCGGCGTCAAGCCCGACTCGCACACGTTCATGGCGCTGTGGAAGATGCTGGGCGCCAACCGGCTCAACGTGGTGGGCGCGGACCACGTGGCGGACGAGGTGGCGCTCACGCGCGAGACGTTCGCCGAGACGATCCGCTTCTCGCACGTCTTCGACGGCGGGAAGCTGGACGGCCAGCTCGCGCGCAAGATGCTCCATACCCTGCGCCGCCTGAAGGACGACCTCGGCATCGTGGTCGCTTTGAGGGCGTTTTGGCGCCTGTTTGGGTACGCGCCGCCCGAGGTGCTCGCGCTGGAGATGGCGGTTGGCACGACGAACTTGGCGTGGGACACGGCGTCGGCGCGGCAGAAGCTGCGGCTTGCGAAGCGCAAGATCGATGCGCATGTCGAGGAGCGGCAGAAGATGTTGGGTCAGCCGTCCGTTACGTTGGATGAGATGACGCCGGAGCGGCGCGGGGAGGAGATGGCTGCGTATCTGGAGACTTTGTATTTGTCTAATGTGCCCGGCGGGGAGGCCCAGTTGGCAGGTGTTGCCAGGGAAATGGGCGTGTATGATATTCTGGTGAAGTGAAAACCGATAGACAAGACTATACCCCCCTGTTTGTATTATATGAAAATCTAGAAGACATCAACGCTCATGTGTTGCTACAGACCTTGGCCCAATTCCAAAGAGACCCATATTGAATGTAAATACAATTAAGAAAACAGGTAGACCCCGGGAGATATGGACACCCTCTTCCGCTCTAATCGTGATCCTCCTCGGTCAAACCGGGACAATCCTCCATCTGGGCATCAGGATACCTCGTCTTGCACCAGAAACAATAACAAAACTCCTCCCGCAAAAACACAACCAAACGACGCAACTTTTCGTGGGCGTCCAGCGCCTCGAATTCTTCCAACTCGGGATCTTCCTCGTCGAGGTCCTCAGCGAAGACGTACACTGTCTTTGCATCCCGTCCGAGAGCCCTCTTGTCGTCTTCATCCTCGTCAGAGTCCTCGTATGTCGGCAGCCGCGAGAGGCTCTGTTCCATGTCGCGCCTCAAGCGGGCGTTGCGCTCCGCTTCCTCGCGACGTCGGACGAGACCGCGCCATAGTACGTTCACGGACTTGAGCGGACGGGAGGGGATGTGTCTCCTCTTCGGTTTTGGATTCTTGCCGTTCCTCTCGTCTTTCGACCCGCTCTTTTCGGCACCTTTCGGCGCAACATCCTCTCCCTTCGCCGCCGCCTCAACCCCCGTCTCAACCTCCGCCTCTGCATCCGCCGCCATCCCCTCGGCAACCCGCTGCGCAGCAGCAACCAAACCTTCCACCCGCACAGCCTCCCTCTCCCGCGCCATCCTATCCCGGTACGCGATGGGATCCTCCCCGGGCTTCTGTCTCTTCCTCGCCTCCTCATCCTCGCCAAACGCCTCGCGGAGCTTCCTCCTCTTCTCACTCTCCATACCAATCCCGCCACGGTCCTCCTTGACCACGACCCTCAGCGGCTCGGTAACCCCCCGGCTCCCCGCCGCGCCGAGCGTCGAGCCGGGTTTGAACCCCATGCGCGCCATCATGGCGAACCCTTTCGATTTCTGGGCCTGCGGCCCTTCGAGCAGCGAGCGGGAGAGGGAGGCCTGGCGGGCGGCTTCTTCCTCTTCCGCGAGCTGGGCTTTGGATTTGGGCCGGGCGCGGGCCTCGGCGAGGCGTTTTTCCTGTTGGCGGCGTTGGAGGGAGGTGAGGGGTTGTTTGGCGACGGGGTCGGGTTCGTCTGCGAAGGACATGGACATGTAGTCTTCTTCTTCTTCTTCTTCTTCTTCTTCTTCTTCTTCTTCTTCTTCTTCTTCTTCTTCTTCTTCTTCTTCTTCTTCTTCTTCTTCTTCTTCTTC